ATGGCCACCTGATAAAGCCAGAGCTTACCTCTGCAGAAAGATGGGTTGATAATTCCATGATGCCCTTGCAATAGGCAAGTGTGACTCTGTAACTATAGCAAACTCTGACGACACAGTGCCTTCTAGAAAAGTACTGCTGATGTCTAGGCTGGTATATTTAAAAACAAGATTGACTGCAGGCTATTTATAAGTACTTCTGCTTGTGCACACTAAAACTGAAAGAGTTTAAACTAAGAAAACGCTCTGACTTCACATCATTTGGTTTTCCTTCAACAGAAAATTGACCAATCCCTCTGTAATTCCAGATAATTAGGCAGAGGGGGAATAAAAAGCAAAAACAGAGACATGAAAAGTAAACTAAAATAAAATTGAGGTTTTTTGAACTAGCTTTCTATCTTGGAGAGATTTTAAGATGAGCAAATCTGCTTTCTGATTAACAGATTCATTACATTATCCCTGGATCTCTTGCCTGGTTCTCATAAATATGAAAGTGGAAAAAGTGAAACTCAAGAATACATAAAATCTTTTAGTATGTTAGAAAGTGGAAAACGGTCTGGCAATACTTCCTTTTTGTCCTGACTTGAAGCTTTATTTATTGCTGATGCACTAAAGTGCCAGTTGTCTTAAAAATCCCTATTTCACGGGGAGAAATAGAAGGACAAAACTTATTTTTCAGACAGTGAAAAAAAAAGTCATGCACAAAAGAGTGATGACAAATGCACAAGATTTTCAGACCAGAACAAGAAGAATATCTGAGAAAAGAAAATGTATATATGAAGAGTGATAGTTAAAAGTTTTTCTGACAGGTGGAGCTTTCCTGAATTAAGATTGAACTTTCTTGAGCTGGTGTTATGATATGTAATTTCCCTGGGTTTTCTGTGTTTTTTCAGCTTTCTTGACCTTTATTTTGTAGGAAAGCTGTATGGCCTGAGGTGGGCTACAGAATATGCTGCTGTGCATAACAGCTTAATAATATGATAATACTGACTTCTTTTATTGTACCTGTGGAAAAAAAATCCTGGATATTTATTAGAAGTTGTCACAAGCTGAGGGACACGATTTGAAGGCAGGGAGAAGGCAAAAGTATCATAAAACCAAGAGAATGTTTGGAAATCTCAGTGGAGTTGGAGCAGTAATTACAGATCAGCCACTCACTAAACTGTTTTCAGATTTTACTGCAATTTTGATTGTTGTACTTTAATTTTTATAGTGACAAAATAGTTTGTGAATTAGACTATCAGTCTGACTAGTTTTAAAGGACAGTACTGCAGCCCAAGGTTGCTTACTAAATTGTGAATATCACTGATATAACTTTTAAGTCCTTAGCAGATTTGGAACATTATTGTTATCATTTGCAGTTTCTCAAATGAAAACAGGAGGTGTTCTACAGACAGTCTGTTGATAGAGGCTGAATGATTCAAATCATATGAAGTTTCCATCTTAAACATGCTCCTAAAATATTGGATGAGGTCTTAACCCCAGTGTTACCAGGCAACATGTTTACAAAATGCAATGTTATTTTCATTCTCTGTGAAGGTTGTGAATATCCTGAACTCTAGTTTGTTTGTCTCGTCCATTGTTTGCTCACTGTAATTACACTCTATATTTGTGCCTGATACGGTTCAACAAAGTTTATTTCTGTCAGACTTTCCTTTAGCACAAAGTTGAGTCTGTGATGAAAATTAAAGTAGTTGAATAAACATCGATCTGGCAAGACTGTGGGTGATAAATTAACCTAATGATCCCATTCAGTGCCAACACCAAGAGCTTAGAAAGAATCCCAATTACCTCCCAGTTTTATACAGGCAGAGCCCTCAGTCCCAAGGAGGGCAGAACTCACCTGTCCTAGTTGATGTACACATACTGCATAAGGAAGAGCCTTAGGATTTTTCCCTTTTTTTCTTTTTTTAAATACTATTACAGATGTGGGATGAGGACAAGAAGAGGTTATTCCTTTTTTCCCCCAAGAATGCAACACATTGGTGAAAACGCTAGAGACCGAATGCAGAAGATGCCCTCAAATTCAGAGCTGGGTAAATAATTCAGTTTGAATTTTACTTTTTTTTCCTGAAAAGACCAACCATGTGTATGTCAGCCAAACATACAGTTTCCATTTGTCTCAAAATATTTCATAATTAGAGTCAAGAGTTATACTCTTGCCTGTGCTACTCCCCACCCCACAAATAAACTCAAAAATAAATAAGCATCAGGTTTTCCTCAGTTTCAGTCTATTGTATCAGTCACAAGCCTGGTCTTGGTGTCTTGTTCAATGAGCACTTGCATTTCTACTTTTACTCAGGCCTGGCACACCAGCATGCCAAATTTGGCTTATTTTTAAGAAAAATTTTCTCTTTAAATGTGATTTTAAAGGAAAAACAATCAACCCTCTTATGTATGCAGTGGTTCACAGCTTTTGTAGTTCTCCTTGAAAATGTATCAGACTGGAATACTCCATGTAATATTCACTCTTTGTTCACATTGTTCCTTTCAAACATGTCACACGGATGAGAATAGTTTATTATTGATGCTGGCCCATTAAGAAGTCTGTTTTAAGCTTACACTGGCAGTGGTATATTGAGGCCATGGAAAAAAAAATGACAAGAGACCCATTTTCCTGTATTTGAGCTGCAGACAGGATCCATTTTCTAAGCACCAGACAGCACACCATCAGAGCTCTGAGCTTTGCTGCCCATATCCCAAACCTCTAGGTAGCACATGGAAAAGGAAAAGGAATGCCTAGTTAACACTGAAGGCCTAAGTGACTGGTCAAAAGAAGATTGAATGACCTGCAAATGCAATATAATTTTTAATCAGCTGGGGAGGTTAATCAAAGTAACTGATTTGTGCATCTGCTCCTGTCCATAGAAACTTCACAGTGTTCTATGCCCAAATTTCATTTTTATTGAAGATGATGGAAGTGTAGTAGATACAAGTTGACACATCATTTTTTCCCTTCTATTTTAGTCATGACTATGTATTTGAAACCTTTATGCCAAAATATAGGACCTCCATTTACCAGTAAAGGGCATGAACCTCTGCCATTTAAAGAACCAAATTTTGAAATTCAAACAAACTGAAGTGGGATTCCACTGAGCTGCACTAAATCCAGACTTAATTTATTTTCACAAAAACTGCTGACAGTCTTTACTTCTTTTTTTCTATTCCTAGCATTTTATGTCACCACACAATCTACATGCTTAAAAAAACAAACAAAATTTAAAAAAAATCAAACAGACTATTTTCAAAACACAGAAATCACAGAAAAAAATTACAGATGTCTCATCTGTTTTATGCCTGCCTGAAAATGAAAAATGTTGTTGCAATTATGATTTTATATTTTAACTATGAAACCAAAATTACTAGGCTTTAAAAAAACTAAAATGTCTGAGTTATTAGAGTCTGTGAACGGCCTGCTGTGCCCAGGCTGTGATGTTTCCTAATGTGTGTGTCTGTGTCAACATAATGACAGCACCACGCTTCAGATCTACTGGATACTAATTACAGATTTACCTGATCGACTGGAATGGCTCCCAAGGAGCTGTTGCACTCTATTTAGCAAGTAAGTGATTCTCCTTAAAGCTGCACAAGGGCTTGTAATGCTAAATAATCTCATCTGGATGGCATTTTGTGATATACTTTTGCTACACTCTTGTTAACAGAGTTTTGATGAGGTTCAGCTCCTGCCCTGCAGAGAGGTGGCAGGGCCATGGCAGGTGCTCAGAGCTCCAGACACTGGGGTTCCCCTGAACTCAGGAGGCCAAGTCACACAGGAGAGAGATTACAGCCCTTGAAGGAGCTCCTCTCATGTCAGATCTAATGTCCTTTCACACTGAGAAATGCAAGAATTCCCCATTTCATGCCCTATGAGAAGTAGGATACAGCCATTAAAATTATGAAGCAGATTATTTAACAAAAAAAAAAAAGAATTTATTCTTCAAGCAACACACAAATAAACCGTTGATCTTTTGGCTGCAAGAAATTGTGAAGGTAAAAGGAAGAAAGGGTTCAAAACTGATGAGCACAGGGAATACAGGTAACAGACCTTTGGCATGGTCCAGATACAGCCTTATATATGAGTGATCTAAAGCTCTCATTTTTTGAAAGTAAGAGGATGGGTTGATGGAGTAATTGCTTTAAAGTTCCTAAGTGCTTTCTAGTCATTCCCCCCCCCTTGAAGCAGCTCAGGCTGGTCCAGAGCCCACAGTGTGTGTGCCAGCTCCCACTGCAGAGCACAAACACTGGCACTGCCTCGCTGGGGAAGGTGTTACTCCATGGGAGCTCAGGAGCAGGCTGGGAGCTGGAATCATTGTTTACACAAACTTGAAAAGCCTTAGAGAAGGACTGAAAAAGACAATTTTTAATGAACACTCTCTGAAGAGGTGATTAATTTGTCCATGACCTGCTACTAAAAATGTAATCTGCAAAGTGTAAAAAAGGTTTTACACTCAATATAATCCCTTGCCTAGAATGTAACAGTAATAATGCAAACACCTACAGTAAAGGCTTGTTAACTCAGTGTGGGATATATGATCCTGTTTCCAGTTTAAAGCACAGAAATTGTTTGGAGGCAGCATCCAGAATTAGACACCTTACACTTGGTATATCTTTTTTGTTTCAAAAGTGCAGCAGCTTAATCAATTGTTCCCATTCCTTTTGCAAAATCAACACTCATGGTTCTTATTATGAATCATCATTCTCCTTGTCTATCACTTAGAGCAAATATGTTTTGCTGTTCCTTGATTGTTCTTGTCTTTTAGGTTTACACTTCTGGATAACAAAAAGCACGTCAGTAACTACACTAAGTAGTTTGGTGATGTCTGAAATACGTACCCTGGGCAAAGAAAGGAAAATTACACCAAAACAAACAAAAATGTAATACTAAATACGCTACAGTTGATAAACGTTGTGTTCAGATTTGTGGACAAATTCTTGTCATTTTCCTCGGCTGTTCAATATCTTGCTTTACAGATAAATCTGACATTTGCCTTTACATAACTTACATTGCATCCAACATGGTAGCAAAAGCCATTGTGACCTTCTCGATCTGGATTAAATCATTGGACACTAGAAGAAAAAAATAAGAATAGCTGAAAAATTCTTAAAATGTGGAAGAATTTTCATAACTATACGCACTTCTTACTTTTTACAATGTAGGATGTTTTCCTGATACATTACTCAGGAAAAAAAAATAATTAAAATTTACAACTGGCTAATGGTCTATAACTCATCACCACAGAGCAGATTCAAAATGCTAAGTAGTATTTTATGCCTCCACATTGAGATTTATTCAACAGAACTAATGTGAAAATGAGGTAACATTCACCATTGCTCATTTTCCACAGATACTTCTGGGATCTGGTTTTCACTTTTGTTTTAAAAATGGATAGTAAAATATGCTAAATAAACATACAACAGCAAAGTGAGTCCAGACAGCAGATCAGATGAGACAATCTTTGAATGAAGAAAGTGAAGGCCAGAAATAGCCATTGCTGCTAGGAAAAATTCCCAGGAAGTATAGAATAAGCCTAACAGATCCAGTGGGAATTAAGATTTATCACATCATAATCACTTCTCCTGTGGCAAGAATGACAGTTCTCCATAGTAATTTTCTTAGAAGTATATATTTGTACCGCTTTACTATCTGTTTTGTAGAGGGAATAGGTCTGTAGTTTGCTAAGCTTTCAAGGTTCAGATCTTCCTAATTTTCTCACAAATAATCACACTAAAAATAGCTCAAGAAATGATTAATAGGAAGCTCCAGTTTCTTATTATTGCTGACTTTATCTAATTACTGCATGTTTCTTTACACACATGCATAGAAAAGCCTTACACCTCCCCTCACAAAAAATAAAATTACAGTAACTCCTGCAGTCAGATTGAACATAATAGGATTATCTTTTCAATCTATTCACTGAGTGCCTCCATGCATGCTTCTTCAAATCAATAGTTATACTTACTAAGGAACTGTAAAATGCATAGCAATTAAGAACAAGGGGAAAAAAACCACTTAAAACACTATGTGCTTTTGAAGTCTATTTTCAGTAAACAAAGTCTTCCCTTACTCTGAAAAAGAAAAAACCAACACATTATATTTTAATGCTACAAAACCTGAAAAAAATGGATTTTCTGAGGAATCCAAGGAGATCAGGCACCTACTCCCTTAAGCTCCTTTGAAAATTGTAGCATTTATCTTCAGAAGTGCTTACAGCCAGCTGGAGAGGGGCTGGCAGAGGATCCCATCAGGATTTCGCAACCCTGAAGTCACGTAAATTGTATCACCCTCTTGACTTGCTGCAGCTTTGCCCCACATGACAGGGGGCCAGGACAGCCCATTCTGAGCTTCACAAAGGGGATGTTAAACAGAACATCTTGCTTAGACACAATCTCATCACTCAGAGTAAGGCTTTCGAAAATTGTAGTTTGAAAGAGGCACAGTAAATGGTACTAATACAGTTTTGTTAAACAAATGGAGACGTGTGAAAAAAATTAAAACTGGTTCTTGTACAGAAATGCTATATGTTTGCAAAGGTTTATGAACACTGACTGAATTTGTTTTTATAGCTCAGAAGCCACCAACTGTTCCTCTCAAAGTCTGGGTATCTTTGTTCTGTGTCTGTATGGATGGAAAGATGAATTTTCCAATCCATGACTTGCATTTTAGCATTAAAGAGCTAAATAGTAAATAATGCAATAAAGAAATACATACACTTTCAAACTTGAAGAAGTGTATTGAGCATATGTCTCAAAAGGTAAGAATAGTAACTGATCTTGTATTAAAGGTCCAGTCCTTCTACAAAACAGGCTGTACTCAATCCCCAAAGAAACAAGTTCAATAAACAAATATGTACTAACCACTGCATGCTAAAAACAGACAAGTCAAGCACAGAGAGCTCCTTTCATGCATCATTTTTGATTGTCCTCCTTTGCTCTGTCAGGAACAGCAGTGACAGCTTAAGTGTTAAAGCTTTTTGACATTGCAACAAACCAAATAAAGCCTAGTTGCACATTTTGGAATTTATTTTATGGCACATCTAAAATATAAACAATATAGGGAGTTTTCATCGTTCTCAAACAATAGCAGCCACTGGTGACTGTTTCCAGAGACAATGTTTTGCTCACATGAGGATTCTCGCTTGCTGAGCAGCAGAAGCATGTTTGATAGCCAGCTCCAGGAGCCAGGCTGGCCAACACAATTATTGCACATTCTGTCAGCACATTTCCTCCCTTCAGCTTTACTTCTCCAATCTTTTTCAATATTGTTAAAATGAGCAATCATTCGTGATTCACACTCCGAAAAAAGGCAGAAACCAACAATTCCCAATGGCTATAAATTATTAATGCAATTGTGCCAATCACACAGAGCTCAGTGCTTTTAAAAATGGAATGAGATTATCTGCACAGTTATTTTCAATCAGATTCATCTCTTATTAGGGGGCATTATGCATATGGCTTGCTTTCAGAAAGCCATCTTCTTTAAAAAAGATTATTGCACAGTCATTTCTTGTGAAATACTATGCAAGCTCTACACTTAGATACCAAATCAATTTTTTGTTTCAGGAAATAATTATATGTAATGGGTATTTTATTTTGTAGATAGACTGATTCTTTCCAGTGTAAAAGCCTGCTCTGTTCTCAGTTGTTATTCCCATTCAAACCATCCCTGCTTTGAGTTGCCTCTGATGTACACAAGCCTAGCAAATATACAGGCAGAACTGGTGGCTGTGGTACAGCATTATTTTTCTGCAATAGCTTTAACAGGTTGTAGTAGAAAAGTTTGTAAGAGTTACTGTGCAGTGTATCTGTTAAAATATAGCTGAGGCATATAGCTGTCTCAAAAAATACAAGATAGAAAATCCTCCTCTTTGGTATACAAAAAACCTAAAAACAAATTAGAGCAGTAGGGATTCAAATGATATAAAGATCAAGTTTTTGGAATCCTGAAGGTAGTCTTTCCTTGTATGTTCTCTCTGACAAATGCTGTTCAAACATTTGTTAGATTTTGGGCTCTCTGTTGCCAGGGCCTGGACTAGAGGCCACGTGGAATAGAGAAAATGTACTGGAGACACAGAATTTTATATTTACTGATGCACTTCGTAAGAGGTTTGTAAAATTGTCCTTTTACTCCCAGCTCCATGTGACATACTCGGGTTGTCCCAACATCACACCATGGTGGCTGGCAATACACCACATGCAAAGAAACTGCAACCAAATCCAGAGGTGCCTCAAGCTGCAGGAGTAGGAGTATTCCCTTGGGAATAACTGGCTAGCAAGGTGGAATCTGACCTGCATTAAATTAAGATAGTTTGGGAGCTGAAATACTGAAATCACAAGGTTAAGGGGACTGATTCAGAGCACATAAGCATGTTCCACATAAAGCAACTTGGATGTATTCTGAGTCAACCAAACCAGCAGCAGCAGACCCCAGACACGCTTCACCACCTCACTCAACCTAGGCCAAAACACAGCTCTCCCTTTCCAAGCCCCTTGCTTCCTGCTCCAAGCATTACCTTATTTTATCTCTTGTATTGACAGAAGAAGAGATCTTTAAAGCACTGAACCTGCAGCACGCTGCAGCAGCACTCTGCTCTACTATTTTCCATGTTTCAGCCCAAGTGCTGGCAATGCTGGGAGCGAACCCAGCTCCTGCAATCTGGGGAGCTGCCTGGCTCCTGCGGTCACATGCCACGGTGCCATTTCACAACATGCATTCCCATCTGCCAGTTCGCTCGCTGGCATTTGGCTTGTACTTTATTTTTCCCAGCCAGAAGTCTGGCAATAGTTTCTTGCTATTACTCTGATAAGAGTGGGGGTCAAACTCATTCTGCTGTGAATGTGCATTTGGACTCGCAGGGAGTGAGGGATTGATTGGTATCAGGCAGAAGTGGTGTCTCCTGTTACATTCCTGGCATGTTATTCTGGGGTTAATCAGTGCTCCTGAGTGTCACTCAGAACTACCAGATGTGACTCTAATGGAGAGCTGCTAGTTGCCTGATGTCTGTTTTGTCACTAATGTGGCTAGAGTACTCCAAAAAGTTTTTCTTAAAAAAAAAAAGGAAAAAAAGGGGAAAAAAAGAATACATAGCTTAGCAAGTATGAGGAAACTATTTAGAAAGTGGTTCTATTTGTAGATATCTGCTTTTAAGTATTCAGTCAACTGATTTTTTCAATATTAATCAATCACAAGACTATCTGCTCTTGTTTTATCAGGAAAGATTCATGCAAAAGAGTACTTAGGATTTTCTATATGTCCTGTAGAGGATAAAAGGCTGTTATTATTAACTTAGTTATTTCAATTCTTAACAGTTCTGAAACATATGCATTATGAATAATCTCCACCAAAAACACCACAGAAATTTCTATCATGACTGTGCCTTTTAGGCTGAAGCAGAGTCCCGTTGAAGTAAACAATGCCATGAAGACAGAAAGGAAGACTGTTCTCTCCCAAAAGGAGCTTAAAAATCAGTCATAGTGAAGGACTGAAATTACTTTCATTTAATTACAAACCACAAATCCATCCAGCTTTAGATCCAGTATGAACCAAAAACTGACACCTGAGATATCCCAAGGCTCCTTTTCCTTTCTGGTTCATATCCAAGATTGGCTCTAGAATTACCAGGTGTTTGACAACCAGCAGGCTGGAACCTCCAGTTTGTATCTGTGACATGTGCTTAGATTAATCAAATTGCAGACATTTAAATAGAGGGATACTTATTCAAATATCATCTTTAGCAGTGGCTCATCCAGTTCCACCGGATCTAGACTTTATTTATGGATCCAAACAGAGCTGATACAAATTTTTTAACCAAAGCTCAACTATCTCATTGTTGTTTCAGATTGCATTATTCTGATGTTTTACTTACCATGTAAACAAACTTCTATTGTGTTTTTGCCAACTTTTCCTCCTCATCCAGTAGCTCCAGTAATGTTATTTCTTTCAGCAGGATTTGGCTTCAGAAAGCCTGCCTGTCATTTGAAAATAAAAGTAAAATGTGTAACACTTGCAGCCACACTCTGTTCATCCTATTCAGTTTTACCAGAACCAACAAGGTCACCTGAGGATGTGCTTGGTAGGGCCTAAAACTGAATAGGGCAATGAAACAACTCACATGTCCTGGGGCCTGGCAGAGAGCAAGTTTCAAAACTGCGTTCACATCTTAGAGTTTTAAACTATGAAACACATCTTTGGAATAAATAAATCTCAAAGTTCAGGGAGAACTTGGGAGGTAAGCTCAATTCAGGAATTGCCATTTATTTGTCTGGCTTCATTTTATTTTCTAACCTGAATTTTAATAGGGTAGAATTGATTAATGTCAGTTTCTGAAATAGAAATTGAATCTAAAATTGAATTATCTTAAAAATTCCAGGGTATGTTCTTGTCCTAATGCAAATCTTTAGCTGCTGATGGCAGCTAAAGTTATCTTCAGATCTATTCCCAACCTGGAGATTAAAGCAGTGCACATGGAGAACATCAAGAAGGCAGTTTTTCTAAGCAACATCTTCAAATATTTTGTAATTTTAATTTTTAAGCAAACTCTAACTTCAACAAAGCATGAATTATAAACCCTGCAATGAGAATGGAGATGGTAACTGTGTTTCATTTTGGTCTCTCAGTGAACAAGACCCTTTCCCTTCTGACATCTTAGAAAATATTGATACATATTTAATGAAAAGCACAATTTGACCTTAATTCACTGACCTAAAACATTTATATGCCTTTGTTCCTTTTAATTTTCAGTGAATAGGACATAGTATCCTAAACACACCCCCAAAGAGCACTACTGAAGCACATTTCATAAAATAGAAGGTAAGTTCATTTTTTTGGCACTTTTCTGATGGGTTCTGATGGGCTTTTCACATTGCCCAGATATCATTTAAAGATAACATGTTAAAGAAGAATTCTGAGGAAGAAAACCTACCCTTACCATTATCATATCTTCCTTCAACTGAATTAATAATACTGAGAAAGGTAGAGAAATTATGAGTTATTCTGAGGGCTCAGAATTCTGCAGATATCACGTTTTCAGCTCCTTACACATTTAATATGTGTAAATGTATGCCTGTGTCTGTACATATGCACACAACACAGTCCACAGTTTTTCACTTGTGAATTCCTTGCACCATAAACAGACAAGTCATCATAAGCTGTAGCTTTAATAATTCCTTGTCAGCAAACGTAGCACAGAAACTCACCCAGGAGGACACTGGCTACAGATAACATTGGTAATGCCAAGAAAAAGGATCTCTCTAGATGTGACTATTTATTATTTTGTATTTTTTTTAAAGAGCAGTTTAGCAGTAAGGATATTTATAGTTCTGGGAGCATAGGAGAAACGTGAAGTTAAACTCAGAAAGTCAAAGGGACCAGTTAAGAAGAGGTAAGGGAAATACAGTGGTTATAACTGAGTCTCTCACCAAGGCAATGATCACCTTTATGAGGTGCATTGCAATCCTCTCTTATACATGCTAGAAAAATGGAACACTGAACAGGAGAATTTGAAACTGCTTAAACCTCTATAAAGGGGCTAAACAAAACATCACAGGGCTGACTTCATCCCATTATGAATGTAGGGAAACAACACTTCCACTCTGTTTATCAATTTACCCAGCCCTGCCTATGCTGTAACAGCAGTTCTACAGAAATTAATTAACTGGTACCTATAAAGTACTGCAAAGTTTAATATTAAAGTGGCTAAGCAAGTGCAAACTATTACTATTTTTAATATGGAGACCTGTTCCTCAGAAAGAGATAGAGCCTTACTGCACACTAAGGAATGGGTTAGGCCCAAAAAAAAACCAGTGAAGACAAAACAAACAGAAACAAAACTCATAGTTTTAATTGGGGTCTCTCTTAGTTTAAAAACTATGAGGGGAAAACTAGGTGAAGAGATAAAGAATAAAAAAAAGAGTAGCAACCATTTTTTCCTGTATTTAATATTCTTCAGTGCAACTAAAATACAAAGTAGGAAAGCAGCAAATTCTAAAAATAAAATGTAAAGGTTTGCAAATGTTTGTCTATCAAACCAATTCCCTTCACATTAGTGTTTGGAAACCTTTTCCATGCTCTCGGGTGTGGTCATTAGCAGTAAACAAATGGGCACAAGTGACACAAACTTGCTGTGGGGAACTGCACAGTGTCGGTGCCACTGCTCTGGGCGCTGCTGGCACTGCCAGGGGGCAGGTCCTTCTCTGATTTTCAGCAGGCTCTGGTCCTCACAGGGAGAGGGACCATTGCAGCAGCCTGTGCAGTAAACACATAAGAGGGTGTTAACAACCCAGATCTCTGGAGAACCCGGGGGATCCTCTCCCCTTGGCTCAGCAATGAGCGCGGGCTCCCAGACGAGCTCGCTGGGAGACAGGAACCTTCTGCTCTGCAGCTGCTTTAAGCCTCAGCCCTTAATGGCTTTCTGACAAACCTCTGGTTGTCTCTTCAGTAGCAAGCAGACGTGCCCTTTCAAATTCCCACTTTATTTTTAACATCTTCATCCCAAGCTAGCATGCTGTTTGCACACATTTTTCCTGTGTATACATTCACATCACACGCACACAAACAACAACCTGCTCTAATAAATACCTTTGAGCACCTTCAAACCACTTGTTGCATCTTTTTTCCTTCTTGGACAGTTGATCAAGCAAAGGAACATAAACTCTTTTTTTTTTTTGACACACAATACTAATAATGAGATTTCAAAACCCATCTAAGGACTGAAATGCATTGCTGAGGTTGACTTATTTCCTAAACCTGTGCTGTGATTTGGTCACTGCATTTGTCTCTGTCTCAAGAAAGCTGGTGGTCTCTCATGTCAGAGAAGATACAGATGCTTTTATAGCTCAATAAGTGTTTTGTTCCTTAGGATGCTCTAAGTCCAGAAAGGCATGATGAAAATCTTCCACAATGCAAGAAGGCTGCTGGGCTGTGTGGTAATGCTGCCAACACAGTGTCACTGTGGCAGTGCTTTTTAAGTGTTCTTTGTGCTTGTGTTTGCACATCTGCCCTCTGATAATCCCACCTGCTAGAGCTGGTCGTTCACTTTCTTACACTCTCTCTAAATTACACTCAAAAGGCACTGGGTGCTGGGGCACTGTGTGTGTTAAACTGCTGCCCTTGAATGTTGCCCAGCAGAGCTGCACATCACAGAGTGGGCATGTTGGAAAGATGTGTTGCAATTAGAAAATGTGGGCAAGGAATTTCTTAATCTAACACTCAGAATTCTTCAGCCCCATCATGTTTATGGCTAAAAGTTCTTTTGGGTCTAGCAGTCCAGCAGTGAATCAGATAGAAGGTTTGCTGAGTAATCCTAGGTCCTGGTAGAAGCATATCACAAACCTGCCTCAAGCCGTGCTTTGGAATAAAATGCAATGAAATTATAACAAATATTTTAATTTATTATGTTCTTACTACAATTCAGCACCTGAATGAAAGAACTTACCTTAGAAGGAATGTGTTTTTCATTCACTAAACTGAAGTGCCTTATAAGTCTCCTGATCTCACACTGAGCATTATTTTTTATAACATTTCTTTTTCAACAACACAGTCCTAGAAAACTGGTAGATATAGCTGCCTACTAGCCCCTTCAAATCATTAACTTCATCCCCTCTACTTCTCCACATGCCACTGTCATCATACATGAGCATGAGCAGCATTTCTAAGTGGCATTTGGCTTAGCATGAAGGCCTACTGGTAAGGAGGTAATGCTGGCACTTCAAAAAAAAAAGCAGAAAGAAAGCACAAACCAAAAAACTCTCAAAACACATACACCTGATAGCATTTTGCCCACACCTGAAATTAATTAGATGGTCTGAAAAACAAAACTCCAACAAAAGATAAAAAGTGAAACACAACACTGCAAGAATTTCTCCCTCTCCTGGGACCAGTATTTTTTTAGATCTGTTGATTGTCAGATTACAGAAATAAAAGAGATACAAAAAATAATGCAAGAAAAATACACATCCGCCACATTTTTCAAAGTGCTCAGGCACTGAAACAAGCATCCAGATGCTCTTGCTCTGTTCACATCTTAATTAGTGATGATTAGTCAGTAATCTGGAATCTTAAAAGTATCACGTATGACATCAGGTTATTTCCACTTTTGACTGGTCTCTAAGTGCTCACTTAGACTGATTAAAAAAAAAAAAAACAACCTTTCAGCTGCCTAGGTAACACATTTTCTGATGTTCATTGCTAAATTTTAGATAATATTTCTCAAGAGGCCTTATGTAATTAAAAAGGTTTTAATCACTAATATCCTGTGGTGAAGGAAGGCTGTTAATGATGTGCCAGAGAGTGCTCAGGACTGGATTGAACGTAAAGGAAGCTCCAGATCCTCCTCAGGGTGTTCCCTCCTGCACACTCAGACCACCTAACCCAGCAAAGCAGGCAGTGCTGGGCAAACTGCAGAAATAATATCACAGTCTACAAGTTCTCCTGATTTAATAAAAAAATGACCTCCTGCTAGATCACATCTCCTGCTGTCTGTTCAGCTCCCTGTTAGCACCCCATTCCCTGAGCACCCAGCCATCACTGCCACAGCACCAGGTGCTTCACAGTCACCCAGGGATTTCTTTCTCCTGACTTACACTCCATTTAGCAAGGCAATCTTCCTCATTTTCAGTAGAATTGAAATGGCAAAAAGTCTGAGATGAAATTGGAGGTTCAATCCTGCCTCCCAGGCTCAGTTCACAGTGCTAGTCCCTGGTCCAGCCCCACCTGGTGTCCTCTCGTGCTGTAAGGAGGGGACAGCACACGGGCCAACTCCCTGGCTGAGATGAACTGGAGAGGGCTGCTCTCAAAACATCCTGCAAGAAGGTTTTTCCACAGTTCTGCCACCTCCTAAATCATGTCAATGCACAGAACATTTTGAGAACCTTCTGTTTCAGGAAGAATTTGCAATCACCTGCAGTACGTGAACGCAGAAAGACAATTGATTTCCTCTGTTAGGAACAGTGGTAATGTCTTAATTCCACAA